TAGATGAAAATTAGCAGGTTAGGTTAGTATATGTATTAGATTATGTTAGGTTAAGTCAGGTGAAATTAGACTTAGTTTGGTTTGTTTATGAAAATTCGACCTATCAACCAGCATACACTCAACTACGGCACTTCCCCGCCTCTTTTGCAAGATCGGTGACCTCGTGGTGACCTTGACACTAAAACATCTCAGTGGCGTGTCTGGATCAATATCAGGTTAATATCGCTGGTGTTGTACTGTACATCGTTCCTGTACACTTCTGCTGCCGTATGGTAGAGCGGGACAAACACAGGTACGGATAAACGTCACCAGATACGACGAAGACAGACAGACAGACAAACATGATTCACTCACAACATAGAAACAAGCGTGACTCATTTAGACAGACAGAGAGACAGACAGACAAACATGATTCACTCACAACATAGAAACAAGCGTGACTCATTTAGACAGACAGAGAGATAGACAGACAGACAGACATGATTCGCATAGATAACCCGACGGGCGGATAAATATGATAGTGATGACCTCCCCAATCACGTCAACAAAGCGAGATATATTACCGTGATGCAGCGTGTCGCCCGCCTTTTGTTTCTGCCCGGTAGATGGTTCTTTTCTGGCGGTCTTAGAGCATAAAAAAATAAGGAGACTGCAATAAACCGGTTGGCCTGTGCATGGCAGCTCCTATCGGGAGTTAAAACCACCCTCTACCTTCCATGAATCTTTCTAGCCTCCTTTTAAAACTTCCCAGCGTCCCAGCACTTACTACAAAGTTGCTTAGCTTGTTCCACCACCCTGAAATTGACAATTTAATTTCTATCACTTTAAACTTCAAAATAATTATCACCTACCTAGATTTTTTATTCTCTATCCTAACTGGCCTCCGTCATAATACAGAAGGTTCCAATCCTAATGGTTAGGTTAGATTGGGGTCTGGATTGGATTGGAACCCATCAGTAAACCTTGTCTAGCTAAATGTATCCTAATCAAAGCAAACCAAGATTAGCGTGTCTCTGTGTTTCAATAACTAAGGTCTTTAAACACATGCTCGGAGAAGTTCCATACACTGTAAAAATAATGTTAAAAACTCAAGAAAAAGGTTTAATCCCCCGTCTATATTATTGGTCAGTTGCAGGGTGGAGCTGTCACACTACAACTCTCAGTACATTTTGAGCGTCACGGTAAAATTCTCATCCTTCACACTTCAAAAAATGAGATAATCAGTTAAATTCTGTGATGTTTAACTACGTATATAAGACTATATCACTGTACGATGTCAATCAAACCAGAGAAATATAGGCTATCAGATGTGTACCATCGCCTATCATGTGAGGGACGTAGAGGGATAGATTCATGACACACTAGTGATCGAGGTTACAATAATCACCCAACAATCTAAGTGGCACACAACCTGGTCCTCAATGTATGCTGAAACAGTAAAGTATTCCAAATAATAAGTGATCCACGCTAGGCTAGGCGACAGACCCCTCTAAGGTAAAAATGGCATTTCAGAAACATTTACAGTTGATTCCTGTAATTTCACGAAAGAAAACAAATGGTGGGGTGGTTATTTACGCTGACGCCCCCTACAGGTAGTACGTTAAATTAGGTCAGAGGTGGAGAACATTGTGGCTGTCAGGGCTGGGTGTAACTGATCACCTGCGGGGGGCTAATTCTCCCTCGTGTTCATATTATTATTATTCCCCTCTGTGGCCTCTGGTGGGAGTATATGGCGTCAGAACCCGTCTGTCCCTTATATGCAAGATACTGAGTTTGATCAATAAATATTTTCCTCTATATCTTCAGGAACTATAACTCATTTTATCATCATGGAGAAAGGGGGAGGGGGAGGGGGGGGTGTATTCTTGCTCTCAATCTATAATGTTAATATTATCACCTGGTATTTTTCTTCTTACTTCTATTAATGGTCGCTCTAGATGTGTCTGAATATATCATAATAAAAAGAAGGACTCTATCAAAGGTGGTCAAGGCCTCTGAGCTAGTTAAAAAGAGCCATAACTCCAGTTCCTCTCAGGTGGCTGGATGATGTAAGTACATCTTGTGGCTCCGTCCTATTGATTACTGAGCAGTCAATAGGTCAAAAAGACCACGAGTTCAGTACACCAAGAGTGGCCCGCTCATGTGCTTCAACAACTCAGGTGTTTTAAAGCCTGTACTGCATTCTAAGTAGGTCCATACACTAGACATCATCTTTTAAGAATTACAACAGAAAGTAGTCCCCGCTGAGGATCCTGGCTTAGTGGAGTGGGTAGGTTACGGTGGCTTGACGCAGACTGACATTACAAGAGATGAAACATGGATGAAACACTACCCCCTAAGATCCTGTACTACATAACGGTGAGAACTGTCGCGATGAAGGAGAAAGATCGCCATTGTTATTCTATTCTAGGCGAAAAGAGTTACTTGTTGTGGTTATGGTGATATGGCGTGACTACGATTCATCTATACAAGTTGTGCTGCCGCCTACCCAAGTTACTGGGATGGGATTGTGTGTGTCGATTTTTTCGTACACACTTGAGAGGTACAGTGTTGGGGTAAGGAGGGTACAATGGTTCTCTTCTGTACCTTTATCAACGGATATTATCATTAGCATCTTTACTATTACGCGGCATCCGAATGGTTGATTTCATTGACCATAGCTAAACATTGTTCATGAGTTTAGCATTATTATCATCTAAATATTCATAAATTTTCCATAAACGAGCAAACATTGATAAATATATTTCATAATGGCTGAAAGAGATAAGGCAACCCACAAGGAAAAATATTAGACGGATGTAAGTCACATTTTAGTTGGAATTCAGTCACTAGGGAACACATTAATATTATACGTTCGTCTGTTTTAATTAAGTAAGTAATAATTTATAATGCTGAACTCGTACATTTTCCCTACTGCCCTTGATAAGCATTCAATCATTATAAATACTGTACCACCTTTCCACTTCTACACTTGCGCCCGACTGCCTTCTTTTTCACAATAATTATTAAGTTAGGTAATTATTCACATCCTTCTTATGAGGGCCCAACAAAATCCTCGTCTTAGAGTGACTGGCCATGTATCGGAGAACCATCTTATGAGGTAATGGAAAAGTGTGTATGTAGTTCAGATAGTGAAAAGAACACTGTGTACTCGTATAAATAATTCGAGGAAAGCCGCACCTGTCTTCTAAGTACAGTACAGTAGTGTGAGGAGATGGCGCTGAAGGGTCGATAAGGCCGAGTGGGGGGTTCCGTGACTAAGCTAATCCTTCTTTGTCAGTGTGGGCGCTGCCCCGCCTCGCCACCACTCCCGTCCACCACCTCCTCAACTGTTTTCAGACTTCGAACAACGTCCTTAATTAAGATCCTCCAAATCCATGCAGGAAATACTTTATAATTTAGTACACTTTCCAATAAAAGATAGATAGCGCAATTTGATAAGTTTGTCACTCAACACATAATGAAAATGTTTCTCACGTTTCTGTAAGACTCGCCATCTTTACCGTTACGTCATGTTAGTGTTGAGCTGCGTCAGTAGCAGCATAAACACCAGCAGGACAACTAAAACATACACGAACAGATTAATTCGCGAAACTATAACGGATGAAATCATTTCAAGGGTCATTAATTGACACCATTTACTTAAATTTAGAGCTCTTCAACTGAAAGCCTTAATCAGCAAGTTCACTACATGAGTGAGCATGTACTGTACAGTATCGCGTGATCAAGAAAAGTAATTTGCGTCAAAATTTGTGAATTTCACTCATTTTCCGTGTTCAGGACGCCGAGCAACAAGTTTTACGCCGCCAAATTATACTCGTATAACATTCTGTTGAATTTTCTTGTTAAATCACAGGTACAGTTTACACCCATCATAGTAAGACTGCTTACAAACATGTAAGTACTTCTACGTAAATTATATTACTTCTTATAAACATTATTGTAATTCTGACTCGCTTAATTGAGGTAGGCGGTCTCATTAATCTTGCTTTGATAAGTTGCCGGAATTAGCCCATGAGTGGGGGGTCAGCTCTTGTAGTACAACCGCTTTGTCATAATATACTGTATCTGGGCCAGATTAACCCCAACACCATTTATTGATATTGTTATAAAGCCCAGCGGTATCTATGAACAGGTACCCATTGGTTGATTCTCTATCCACTGAAAGAAACAAGACCAGTTATATCTTTTAATTTTGTTTCTATGACAAGACATAATGAGTTAACCAATGAGGAGCCATCGTTACCACCAATAGTTACCTGTGTTGTGTGTGCCTGGTGACAGCACTTGTATTAAATCACAGTGCCGCCCACACAGTACAGTACAGCACTACAGTGTTTGGTGACGCGGAGACACACTAGTGACGTCATGTATTGCGTGTTGAGCGTCACGAAGATAAAATTCGGTTTAATTGTGGATGTGTTTGTATTTGTACCTCTGCTCGCTCATGTAGGGTGTGTATCAAAGATTAAACACTGTTCACTAAGTTAAATGCGTTCAGTTTTATTTACACAATTAGTATTTATGAATAATGATAACAGCTGACGGTACATTATACACTCATTGTCTTAACATTGTAACGCCGGGGGCTATCTGTACTGATTGTGTCAGACTCAACCCCTAGATGAAATGTTTCCTCTTACAATTGGTGAGTCTTAATTAAATAATCTATCATATATCTTTGTAATGTTTTTATTACTTTTGAAATGTGTCTCAACTCATAAACGCCAAAAGTTGATACTAAACTGCCTTCACTAAGCAGTCTCTCGGATTTCAATCGAGGGAATGATATTAGTTTGATGATCTCATTTCTAAAGCTAGTGGGTTAATGATCGAAAAAAAAAGAGGCCCGGAGTAAGTGAAATATGAGTAGCGATCACCGTAGTTATATGTGCGATACTACAAATATAGACCTTTAGCAGTGCATTTATAGGTATAGATAGTTATTTCACGTATGGACTTGTTCCCTCACATACTGGTTGTTCTCAATTCCCAAACAGTCGCTGAAGAAGCTGAGTCACGCGAATGTAGTCAAGCTGAAGGAGGTGATCAGGGAGAACGATACCCTCTACTTCGTCTTCGAGTACATGAAGGAGAACCTTTACCAGCTCATGAAGTCCAGGTCAGTGGTATACAAAACTGATCTGGTGTTTAGGGGAGTCTGCTTTGGGTATGATGGCTCAAGTTAAGTGTTCTCTATAATAGTAATAACATACTTCTAACTTAACCTTCATGTGTTGTAGGGAGAAACACTTCAGTGAGGCAGCAGTGAGGACCATGGTGTGTCAGGTGCTGCAGGGGTTGGCCTTCATGCACCGTCACGGCTACTTCCACCGCGATATGAAGCCAGAAAACCTCCTCTGTATGGGTCCTGAGCTCGTCAAGATCGCTGATTTCGGGTTGGCCAGGGAGATCAGGTCGCGGCCTCCTTACACCGATTACGTCTCCACTAGATGGTTAGTGACTGAGAGGCGGCGTCCAGGAAGCTCTAGGGAGTGAGAAAAGAGAGTAAGGAGTGTGTGTATGGGAGGAAAGAGTACTGTGTGTGTGTGTGTGTGTGTGTGTGTGTGTGTGTGTGCATAATGACAAGACAGTGAGGAGTATGTGTGCAATGTGTTCAAAGATGATAATGGAAGGCAGGTATTGAGGGGCATCCATGAATATCTGGCGGGGAAGACGATGGAGTGAGGCGGATATATACTATTTACTATGATGACGTCAAAATACCTCACCCACATCGCACTTTTCTTCTCATTCACTCTCTCAGTTTCTTAGACATAAACCATCTCTTAAGACATGTAAGCATTTCTTAGACATAATCAATTTCCTTGGACGCATAATTTTCTTAGACCTAACTCCTTCCAGCAACATTCCTGCCGCTTCTTCACGTCTTCAGTACACCAAAATGAGAACAAAATCATTTAATTTCTCCAGTTTACATCCCAATAACAGTCAAGTAATGAGTTTAGTCTTGTCTTTCACCAGCTGAGCTTATCCTTCAACACCACACACTCACAAGGGCATAAGAGCAAGATTGACGTAGATCAGGACATGAGTAACGGCAGCCATCATTGTTGTTGTCACTTGGATCAGTTGAGTGTGGCGGGAAAGCTAACATTAGGCAGCCATAACTTACTGTCTCACGTTGGTGTAGGACCCAGTAATGACACGCCCTCCCAGCCCCACAACCTACCCCACATGATGTTTACTACATTATATAACAGGGTATTAGTGTATGGTCAAGGGGTACACTCACCCGCTGACATATAGAAATTATCTACGCATTACTGGGTACCTAAGACCATCGGGGTGACATTTTCATATGACCGTAACATCGTTGTTTGTACGAAAACACAAGTTCACATTATAGCAACACTTTTAAATATTACAAATAAGTTTTTGTGATTAGGAAAGGAATAAAATCCGTTGTCATTATTGTTGTACATATTTAAATGGAAGATCATCTCTACCATAGACCTTATATAATTTAAATATGGTACTAGTGTTGTCCCCTCCCACTTCACAGGTACAGGGCGCCCGAAGTCCTGCTCAGGTCCAACAACTACAGTAGCCCCATCGACATCTGGGCTGTTGGCGCCATCATGGCCGAGATCTACACCTTCAGGCCGCTTTTCCCAGGTTCCTCTGAGATTGACCAAATCTTCAAAATCTGTTCCGTAATCGGCACGCCAGACAAGGTAAACTGAGAAAAGAGGGAGATTTGCGTGGCTTGGTCCTTAACGTCTGTCGCTAAATTTTTATAGAATGTTAATTTTAGAAAAAACTGCAATTTCACTGTGTTTAGCAGTGGACACGTCGTTGTTTGGGAAAATGTGTTAAAATGGGGTATTTCTAACTTAAAACTCACCTAACCTGTGCAAAAAGCTAATGCAATGGTTATACGTGCCTTACCTGTGTCTGCCATCTTGCCTCTATGAGCGTGGTTGTCGCACTAACACATTTTTTGCGCAATAATAACGAGCCATGTAAAGGGTGTCCTTGCCGCCCAATAATAATGAGTCAATATACTTTAGCAATAATACTGACCGGCCGCTTAAGTAAATGCTTCTATGTGTGGCAGCGTGACTGGCCTGAGGGGTACTCGTTGGCACAACAGATGAACTTCAAGTTTCCGCAGTTCTCTCCCACGCCGCTGGCGACCCTCATCCCCAACGCCACCCCAGAGGCCATCCACCTTATGGAAGAGATGCTTCACTGGAACCCCGCCCGCAGGCCCACCGCCCAGCAGTGTCTCAGGTACTCTCAGATGACCCGGGTAGGTTAGGTTGCTGCACCATACAGAAAAATGTCCTAGATATCCTGGGAGAGTGGTTGTGGACCAAATGAGTCTTGGGGTTTAAGACAGGTGTCTCAGGTGTGTCTGAGCAATTAGATCACAAATGGTGAGTCCACATGGATGAGACTTTCTCCAGGTGTGTGTAATGCCCTAATAATTTCTACTGTTGTCACATTCTTCAGGTTCTCCTTCTTCAAGGACCACAAGGTAGACGTGAACAGCCTGTCGTACGCCATGAGTAAGGCGCGTATCAATGACCCCTACGCACAGGACGAAGGCAAAGCGTAAGTTACTCACCCATCCCTTGAGTGACGCCATATGGCTGACCTCACAACCAACCGTCATATCCACCATAACATGTACAGTACTTCACACTTTTAAAGGTTAAATAAAAAAAAACAACGTTCTTATTGTAGAGTTATCTCCCTCCATAAAAGTTTGTAACGTAATATTAAAAAAGAACAAGAATGAGTATGAGATATAAAGGTTTTTATACCATTAATTAAACAATTAATTACCTAACTGTTAAGCAAGGATATAAAGGATTAATATCAGTGTGGAAAAAGTAATTTATAGTAAAGACTGACGCCAGGTGTCTCCTCACCTCAGGGGCCCCAGCAACAGCGAGATCGGCGCCATCCTGGCCGGCGGGACAAGCGGCAAGCGAGGAGGTGGGAAGGTCAACACCAAACTGCCCAGTGGTGCGGGCGACACTAAAAAACACAACGGATACTCGCACCGCACAAAGATCAACCTAAACCTCGACCCTGGCACGAGAAGCTACAATCAGCCTCTGCCTCCCCCAACCCTTCACCTGCAACCCTCCGCGCGGCGTTTGGGCGGGCATGATCCTTCCCTGGGCAGTATACGGGCTAGAGGCCAAGCTAAGCCCTTTATGGCCAATGGGCTCGACCTGGGCTCTAAAGGCATCAAAGAAAACAACTTCTTGCCTAACACCAAGCACTGGTCGTCTTTTCGTGACCCACCTTCCAATGACAACAAATACAATGATTTTGAAGATAATAAAACTAATGGTTTTGGGAACCTGAGTAAGTAAACACACTGGCGCCTTAGTGTCCTCGGGGTCAGGGAGGGGGCGGGTCACCCATCATGCACCTCGCTCTACTCGACACCAGAGACACACAGATCCCCAGTACCACCTGTGTAGTCTCAGCCTTCAGTAGCAAACGATGAATAATTTGTGAGGAGGTGTGTGAGTGAGGCGAGGTGTGACCCAGAGCGTACATGTGGTCATCTCCCATCACTGACACTCCCCCAATGGGCTAGGGGCACCTACCTGTCACGTCTCGCTGGCCTAGTCTCACGCAGCCACTGTAGACTAAAGTAATTTCTTAAACTATATCTGTATGACCGTCTTATTTACCTGCTTGATACCTCTTTATAGACCCTCTCTCTTGATAACTTATTATGTTTAATGTATATTAGCGCTAATTGTTATGCATCTTCAATTTGTGATAATCTTACTTTACAATTATGTATACTTATATATAATACAGCTTTTGTCCTGTCATTACAATGCTGCCACCCACCCACCCAGTCATACCACCCGGGAAAAGCCTCTACACTGACTGTAAATAACGTGTTACAATTTCATCCTTTATGTTACAGTGTAGCAGCGTTTACATTAATTTATACGATACGGTACTGTGGTGTTCCTGACTCACAGTTCAAGAGTAATAACACGATAACCTGTTTATGTCTTCCTAAGAAATAAAGTACGTCTTTATGTTTAAGATATCAAATGAGCATAAAATCATGAAGTTACGTGAACACCAAATAAAGGTAATCCAAAATCATCAAAAAAAAAATCTGGAGTAAATTCGTGACGTATTCCACACATCATTATTTATCAAAACAGTATTTATAACAACCCAAGGTTATATTTTGTTGTAGAGTACAGTAATGTAAAGTATATGTAGTCTTGTGTCGCTGGTAGTACACCATGTTGTTCACTGCACTGTGTCCATTGCTTTTTCTAGTATAACTATTATTTAATTTTCTACCTGACGCCCAAGGAGAGACGGTCCATCACACGTTTGAGAGCTGTTCGTTGTTTACCCCCGACCCCACCCACATACATACATAAGATGGAACGCAAGATTCAGTCATGATTTTAAGCCTAACATTATGATCATATTGAACCTATCAAATGACAAACACACCGTGTGGACGAAGATGCTGCAAGAATTAATGCGCTTCACTTATATGAAAGTGTAGCGTTCACTCATCTGGTGCACTTGAACTCAGCTTAGTTTATCTATTTGTTAGCAGTTTACTACTTCAGCACCAAGAGCAGCTATTTTTACACTGCCTTAGCCGACCTTCCTGTTACAAGTAACTAGCCTTCGTGTAGGTGGAGAGCCTGTTGTAGCGACGAGGCAGCTGCAAGTCCCCAAACACGGCTGTCAGCTGACCCTCGTGCCATGGTCGAGGACTGGGTTAGGTCCTCTTTGCTTTGGTCTAACCAGAGCTAAGATATGACTTATCTGGCTTAAATAAAAGGTCCAGTATATGCCATTACTGACCAGGCCTGTGTGTAGGCCAAGGCTAAGCCTTCGTCTACACTCAGGCCATGTCTGTGTCGCACTTTGTTGTGGGAACGTTTGTCACAGACACGATGACCCATCACTAACACACCACAGAACTGGCGTGGTGGTAACACTCACAACACATGAACGCTTTTCCAGTACCAAAATAAACTTAATTTATTATTTTTTTCGATGCACTCAACTTTTATTCGCAGGTATGCTAGTTATTAATGATTGTTTTGTTTAGTGTGCCTCCCAGTACAGTACAGTATACCTGATGTTTACACTTTGTGAACGCAACACCGAGGAGCAATGTTTATTTTTTCATACACTAGTATTTATTTGTAAGTGTGTGCAGAGTTTGTGTTATGCATATTTGTCAAGCATGTTCTGGACTGCTGTATTCAATCACATACTGTAATACAGATTGTTACTGCACGTTTTAACATTTACAACTTCACAGATGCATCAGTTAAAACGTATCACTTAATGCGTCAACACTTTTTACATTTGTTCTTACAGGGACAATAATTTGTTCCTCTACAATAAGAATATAATGTTAAGAAGCCATTTTCTCCTTTGACTAAAACTAAGCCACACTCTTCCTCGTTGTGACTAACAGAGTGATCCGGCTCCCAGCTTGAACCTGTGTTATTTACCTAGTGAGGCTACAATCTTACCTCCCTCCCCTCCCCTCCCCTCCCCCAGGAGCCGTGAGCCGCAGTATGCCCGGGTCGCTGGTGTCGGTGCAGGCTGGGGGCGGCGTCGGGAGCAACAACCCCATGAGGACACACTCCTACCCAAGCAACAACCCCACCATCACCTCCTCCTCATCCTTCGCCACCACCGGCCTCCCGCGCTCCACTAGTGCCAACGCTAATGTTCACGGGAGAACCAACTGGGCAGCTAAGTAAGTGCAAACAAGGAAGGAAGGGAATCTATAAGTAATAATTAAGTAAAGAATAGAAGCTGTAAGTGTTTTTTTATCATTGAGGAGAATTTTAAGTGAAAATCGAGTAAGGAAGGGAATTTGTAAGTACCCAACCCAACTATTAAGTAATATTAAAGTAAAGTAAAGAAAGACTGTAAATATAAATTAACGAGAGGAAGGATGTAGAAGTTACAGTGTCGAGGAGAAGGCAGGTGTGGTACAGAGGTTTGAGGGGCCAAGACCAGCACACACCTGCACTACTGACCAGGTGAGTGAGTTTACTATCCATGACCAGGTATTCTCTACACCTGGTCAATCTAATACCTGTCACTCCCACATATGCCTAAAATACCTGTCACTCCTACATATGCCTAAAATACCTGTCACTCCCACATATGCTTCAAATACCTGTCACTCCCACAGTTAACTAGAATATGTGTTACTTCTCAGGCAACAAGTCACGTTTCTCAGGTAACTTACGGAACTATTACATCCACAGGTACCTCAAGTAACGTCTCCCAGCGTTAGGGGAAGACGCCGGCAGTCTGGTGAGGGTCCCGGAGGAAGGTGGTGATGTGGGGAAAGACAAATAATTTTCTCCCTTCCTAAACAACAGTTCACAACCTCCTACCGTGACAGAAGGGTAAATAAAGCCACTGTACTGAGGCTTTACAAAGGCAGAAGGAAGCAGCGGTTCATTTTCAACGATACCAGACAACTGGAAAATAAATTCAGTTACTAAACCCATCATGAGGTAGAATCCAACACAGGTGATCCGACCAAATGTAAAACTTCAATGTTTTTTTTATCAACAATGGGACTACCAGTATTGACGGAACTCACTCTTCGGATATTTTACAATATTTTGAATACTTGCTAAGCTTCAGGAACATATATTTGAAACTGTAAAAATAGAATATTGAAAACAGAACTTTCGGGCTAGCTTCAGGACTCCACTAACTACGTAATCATGATATAATGCCGTACCTGGATAGCATTGGATGGACGTAGCTTTTGAACACACACACACACACACACACACACACACACACACACACACACGAGACCATCAGAGCGATTACAGTACTTTAAACTTGCTATCCTACGAGGCCTCGACCTCTTCCTAGTGTCGGTGCCTATATCGGAAAACATTATCGGGTTTCATCCTCTATAAACCTTATTTTTAGCTAAATTCACGAGTAGAAACCACCAAAAAATTAAAGTTACTCTGTTGTAGGCCCATGAGATACTCGGTACCTATTTCCTCCCCCTCCCAAATTAATCTCAGTTATGTTCGTCATCTCCACGAGCACCCTTAAAGATACGTGGTAGTCATCTTCGAAAAGTTTTGTATTCTGTATCATGTATTGTGTCGTGTGTGTGAAAATGAACATACAGTAGTGCTATTCAAGGTACAGGAGCTGGCTATAGTCCCGGGCAGTACTGTATAGGCTACCTCGCCACCACCCTCCTCCCCACACACCCATATTATCTGTGATACTAAGTACAATCTCGCCGCCCCGTCCAACCATACACTATCATACTGACAACGAGAATATAACGTCTGTATACTTAGCACTTTATGCTGACGTATAAATTATTCGACACTAAATAGTTGAATGTGTGCAAAGCAAAGAACATATAAAAAATATGTACATAAATACCTATACTTCGACAGGATAAATATATATATATATATATACTTATAAATATAGTTTGCATTTTCAAATGGGTAGATGGATACTGCCTTGCCAAAGACTACTTATACCTCACAGCTCCGTCCAGCTCCAAGGAAATGACCCGTAAGACATGTGAAAAGTGTAAACTGTACAAAAGATCAAACATTATAGCTTAAACGTACAAAACAAAGATAAAATAAAATAAGTGCACCGTGACATAATTCTAGAAAAACTATAAGCGAAAACAAGCTATAACTGAATCGTTTCTTGAACACGTAAGATGAAAATAAGGATAATACCAAATAAAAACGAAAAATAGTGAACGAAACATGAAATCTGTGGTTAAGTGAAACATTAAACTGACATGAAGGAAGAAACAAGAAGTGAATAATTATAAACTCTCTCAATGTGTATAGTATAATACCATAGATGGATCACAGCTCCGTATTCCTCTGGTATAGACGTCGAACAACTGCTGGGTAGATTACCATAGTGGTGTTCGGATATTGCCTATCATTATGCTACCAAATGTTCATATATGTACAATCTAAATTCCGGTTATATAAATATTAAAAAAATCTATATAGAAGATAGAATTAAGGTTCATCTGTCTTATGGATATTGTTGATTCTTTGGGACGTTAGAGTACTGTTGAAATGTCCGATTTTTTTTATCTTAAACCAAAATAAACACAAAATACTTAAGTCATGATAGGATAATTAATACTGATGATATATATTTCCTAACCCAACCTAACTTAACCAAAATAAACCTATCCTGACCTAAGGATTACACCAAGTTTGCATTCATGATCTGATCTGTTGTTCTAAGCTGTGTTGTTCACCTTCCATTTAATGTACAATGTAAATTTTAATAACAGTTGCGGACATAATTATCTTGAGCCTCTTGGCTGTTATTGACCATCTATCTGAGTATCAAGTTAGTAAAGATGATGAGGAGTTTAATATAACTCTACTTATGTTTTTATTTATATTATAGTTTCGTTTTGTTTTCGTTTTGGTGGTGGGGGGGGGAGGGGGTAATATTCCAACACAGTAATTCATTCATAATAAACAGAATTCACTAGTTGTATTTTCAGTCAAGTATAGATGCCAGACACATATTGCCAAATGTCAAAGGGGATTCCTGGCCACAACTGTACAGATGTATGTATACGATCCTAATTTATTTTATATACAGTACTCGATTCTTTGTTTTGTTTATGTACCGTATATTGTACCGAGCTTGTCAGTTATGTCGAGCGAGTCCTTCCACCCACAAAGCGTGACTATTACATGTTTTCATATTTCCCTTTACCTAGGGGGGCTCTTGTGGTAAAAGCGGTACCGCTCTTGCCTCGCAAGCTAGATATCACGGGTTCGATTCACGGGCAGGCGGAAGTTGTTTGGACACTCTTCCTAGCCCCCTTGGTCCCTGTTCACCTAACTTTAAGTACTGTAGGTACCTGTTGTAAATCGAAAGGTTGCGAATTCGTATTCAGGGAAAGTTGTTAGAGCTTCTAAACTTGGAACTAACGCAATACGAGGAGTGGTGACCCGAGGATCAAACGCAGATAAAAACCCAATACGTGCGCGCACCTATGCGCTAACCAAATAAACGCAGTCGTGTAAAGCCACGGCTCTATCTCTCCCACTACAATTTCCTTCCTAACTTCCTGCTCCTTCCTCTGTCATCTTCCCCGCTCTGCCTTTCGCTACCAACAACTTTTGGAGCTTTTAAACTTTGAAAAGCTCTTTCCCTATTGGTAACAGTAGAATATTTACAACACAAAATGTAACACAACTAGCTGAGATTTTTCGTTGTATCCCTTCAACAACACACATAAACAAATACATACTATTTTTTACACGTAGATTTTGTTGCATCCAGTATGTAACATTTCTTTCATACAACGTCCCAAAGAATCAGTGAGTTGCCAAATATGAACTTTGCCCCAGTAAGTTATTCATCATCTACCAGACTGCTACCTTAACCAGTCAGATGTCACCCCCATACTTAACCTCGTCGTCTTAAACTACTGTATTGATACTATTGGGCAATGTTAGCTTTGGATGTTTTGTAAATATATTAAAAATATATTTATTTGATAAGTATTATTATAGTTTCAAAGATTTATCACCTCAGGAGATCTTTTTCCTTCATTGTACAGATTAATGTATTGGTGCAGCTCTTGGCACTCGTAAAATGATAATTATTTGGATATTATTTTTTTTGTTTTCAAGGCCACTCGACCATGTCGCTAGCGTTAACCATCAAGCGGAGTTCTCGAGTGTATATAAGCATGACAACAAGTGGACCAGCTTGTAATGTCCTTGTACAGTTATGAAGAAATTTAGTCGTTTGAGACAATCCAACTTTAAACCTTTTCAAGCATCCGGTACTGTACATGTCAATTTTCTGACAAAGGACAACATTAGTATCTCACATTATAAAACCTAAATTCCTTAATATAAATTCCATCTTTCACGTTATGGTTGTGTCTAACGGTACTGACTCTTGGGCAATGTTTATCCTGTGCAATAAAAATACATTTTGACTTGTTTTTTCTTCAACTGTTCACCTTTGACGGAGTGTGACTATGAAGACAATATATTATTAAATGTTATAAGTCTTTATTCCTAAGTCGTACTATAATACATTGCTTCAATCTCAACAAATTGCTATCGTATAAAGTTGCTGAAACAAGATTTTGACTCGCAATTTTACGGACATAATTCACAAAATGAATTACTTAAGCTTTTAGAGTAAAATGTAAACGACAGCCGACATCACACTTGAGAGGTCAGCTCCAAGAAACAATGAGTCTTGCATCATAAGACAAAGTACTATACTGTACGCAAAACTGTCTCACTTAACTTTTTGGGAACAAGAACTAAGAACACTTGGAATAACTTGCCAAATAATGTTTTAACAGCAGCAAGTGTAAGCAGCTTTAACAAAAAAACTTGACCAACAATAGGCTGTAACACTTACTGTATATTCAAGAACCCGTAGTATACAGTACATGACCAGAGAACTGACCGGCTAGTAAGCTGACAAATGGTGAAAAAAGATAAGCTGCTGTGTTGTGAAATATATAGATTTCATATTTTTTTTTTGGGGGAAAGTACCAATACTTACATAGAAGAAAGGTTAGGAGGAAACACCCCACCTTAACAACACTACCCTCACCCCACCAGGTAGTATTAGGGTGATTAACCTTCAGGTGAAATAAACTGAAAGACCAATCTTCAGGTGAACCAAAAATGCTGATAACTATTAACCCTCAAGTATGACCGAGGAACACAGTCAGTTGCCGGGTAAGATACTAACAGCGAGGCAGGATGCCAAGTCACGCTCGACGACAGAATTTTAAGTATACAGGAACATGACGTAACTTGAAATCGAGCCACAAAATCTGTCACTGGGGCCATAAGACGAGCGTGCGTGTGTAAAATAATATCCAAATGAGGCAGACACGAGAAGCGACGCTTATCACCCAGTGCACTAAAAATAACAGAACGCATGGTTTATTTGTCCCGAGATAAATATGTGACATCCCTTGAATAGGTGACATCCCTTGAATAGGTGACATCCCTTGAATAGGTGACATCCCTTGTTTTTTTACTTACGCAATCTTCCTCGTGTTACAGCAGCTAGTGGGCTATTCCGCTACCTAAGCATGACGCTATTGTAGTCCACCGGATAAATATACGAGTGGTATAAAAGAATAGACTTCAAAAATCACTTCGTGATATTTTCCGTGTTTAAATATAATTATCTCCAGTTGCCACCGTGTGTTTCCATGACTTGTTTTTGTTACGCTTCCGGTCTTAAATTCAATAAAAAAAATGTGGTGTTGATAGATCCAGCAGCATACGTAAATGACTACGCAAAAAAAGGCAGTCGAATGCTGAAAAGATGGGCTAACGAACCAGTTAGCCAAACCAGACGCACCCACCTGACAGTAAAGACGTCAGTTCAGAAAATGGCGGAAAACATAAACATTAAGAAAATAAGTTACGAATTCCGCTCACGCGTTTCTCCTATCAGTGAGTACATTCTGAGTTACCTTCAATTCGCAGGAAAATAAATAAATATATAAATGCTGTGTGCTATATCGAGGTTTGCATAAAAAAAAACTTGCCAATCGAGTGAGTGAGTGAGTGTGTGTGAGTCGGTCAAGTTGAGAAGAGTTGGAGAGGAGGAAAAGGTCTCTTCCTAACACTTGAATGAATAGGTTACAACAATACTGCTTACCTGTACAGTACAGTATACCCCTATCCATGAAGTCAATAATAAATAGGAATAATAACACTAGTTATAGTCCGAATTAACCGGTTAACTACCAACACCATGAAACAATGCAGGTGCGGAGTAGGTGATGACGCGGCGGTCTATATTTACTCTGTACACAAAAACTGTGGTTTTTCTCTCTGTAAATGATGATGCCAGAGAGTTAATTCTGGAGTACAATAAAGTGTGAATTAATCATATACCTTTCTCCTGTTCGTATGTCCTATAACTGTTTATGTCCGGTCTCTGTATTCTTATCTAAATTGGTATAATGATTCGGTGTAATAAAGTATCTGTACAATGATTCACAAAGACTAATCTCCCTAAGAGTGACCAAACGATTTTCCGGGACTCTTCCCAGAACAAGTGATGAGTACGAAAGGGGGGGGGGAGGGGGAAAGGCCCGTATTTGAGAAGGGAGTTTCCCGTATTTTTGTCAGGAAACACGGAATTAAGTTGGTCACTATGAATTTAAACTTGACCTAACTTATTAACACAACTTAACGAGGAGAGTTTTGTAAATATATATTATAATCTTTTATTTGTGGTGAGATATTGTTCAGTAGTGAGGTGGAAGGAACATTATACTAACGGGGGACTTTGGACACAGTGCAGCTTTGTCGCTGTTTTTATTACTGGGGTTTGATGACGTGACCTAACAAAACACGTTTTCAAGTCTGGCTGAGATATACGACTTAACGATGTGATTTAAGAAGAAATTAAGAAATAAAACTGACAAATTTTGATAGGAAAAATAATAAACTTTAAGGATTAGATTAGTATTGGAATTTAATTACTGTGAGAAAAGCCAAAGAAACGCATTTGACACGATAAAGCAAAACTGACTTTGTGCATATGAGTGAAGAGGCAGTGGGTAAGGACCAAGGATGAGGCGGAGAGGTAATTGGTTGGGCCTTGTACAGAGAGGACATCACCGTTAAAACACATCTATTATACGTAAGAATAGGAATGAATAGCAACAAATGAAGATTATGTGTGTGTGTGTGTGTGTGTGTGTGTACGTACGCCATTCCGACCCTTGTGCATTAGATAAAGAAAAATATCTAAAAGTAAGTTTCTATAGACACCAATATATTATTAGCTAAACATACAATATTTTCCGCCATTGGACTACTGTGAAGGTGACTCAGAGGACAGCCATAACAAATACTAAAGAACCCAGTTAATGTGAGAGACGCAGAGAAAAAAGAAAGAGGCAAACAGAAAGAAAGAAGAAAATGAAGAGAAAAAGAAGCAGTCAGGGACACATTAAATAGCACACGAACGAGAAACATTATACAAGTATATTCCTCTTGACGTGTGTGTGTGTGTTGCCTACAATTTAGCATATAATAATAATAATATTAATAAAAGAAAGAAATTGACTGCAGTATTTGTCCTCTGCTTTTATATATTCTGTATATAATATTTTTTGTGCCTTTGAGATCAACGGTACTTTGGATATTCACAACATATACCTATAATGGCCCCTGTTTCTTTTTTAGTTTAACAAATTTATTGGCAGAGCTTGTAGTACAGTTTGCCTATTCTGAGTAATTCAGTCAGGTCTTGACACTGAGGGTGGTATCACTTCTCACTGTCACGCAGGACAGAGGTTCATACACAAAGAAATACATCATATTCATTAACAACTATAAATGTATATAGGTCAGATTCATATGGGTAATGTCACTGTTCACTGCCATGCAGGACAGAGGTTCGTACACAAAGAGATGCATCATATTCGTTGACAGTACATATACATATATGTAAACACACACACACACACAAATACATACATATACGTATATACATACACATATACATGTACATGTACATGTACATGCACACACGCACACATACATACATATACGTCGGTCAGATTCATGTGGGTAATGTCACTTTCCACTGCCATACAGGACAGAGGTTCGTACACAAAGAATGCATCATATTCATTGACACTATATATAGGTCAGATTCATGTGGGTAATGCCACTGTTCACTGCCACGCAGGACAGAGGTTCGTACACAAAGAAGGAAATACATCACATTCACCAGCAGTATATATAGGTCAGTGGATCACATACATTGGAGTCATATTCTAATTGAAGACTAATCAGTGTGGGCTAGCAAATTTGGGATAAACAGCAAGAATGTCCTCCAGCACACCTGATTCAATGAAGTAATTAAATAGTTCAAGATACAATAAGTCAGGTGGCCTGAAGTCTTGGACAGTGTCACATTCAATAATATAGTGTTCAAGTGTATGCTTTAAAGGTTTATCACAAAGTTTACATGCTGAGTGTTCCGGTATGGGTACAGCGTTACTAACTTGCCAAATGTGTCTGTATCCTAGCCTAATTCTGGCCACGACTACATCACATTGTCTGGTTCTGTCCTTATGCTGGCCATACCGGTACCTCTTGTTACAAAATTTGTCATATTTACTAATGCTACAACTGTCAGGTCTCTCTGCATTTCTCACTTCTTCTAGATCAGAGTTCATGATTCTGACTTGAATGTTTTTAATTACAGCATTGGACAGACCAAGGTCACGGTCAGCATTTTCTTTCTTACATGCCTCATTGGCCAGTCTATCAGCACGGTCATGATACCTGATTCCAACATGGGACGGAATCCACACAAATTCGATACGAAAGTTGTTCTCATTGGCAGTTATCACATTCCTTTTAATATCACATGCAACTTTAGATATAGAGCCTGACGGGCTGTTCATTGATTTCAAAGCACTTTGAGAGCCCCTGTTTCATAAACAGAAGAATTATATAAATGGGTTAATTACATTTGATTTATTTACCGATTCATCCCCTTTAACTTTCCACTAGCTATGAGGTGACATGTTCAGTGCACGTGATAAGGTGTGCCCACGGGAAGCTGCTTCAGATTATGCTAAGGCATTAAGTAGCCGCCTCCCTGGCCACCTAAAGCAGACAGTTGTTTTATATCCTTGACTAGAGGAAGATGTTATTTGAGAGCCATCGTGGATGGTTCCGTCTTCCCTCGAGGGAGGACGACGTAACTATTCCGTTCTCCCTCGATGGGTCACTACTCATAGAAGTCCCACTCAAACTCTCACATCGAAAGGACGTGATTAAACGGTCTATTTACATAGCCACCGTCCTTTCTCTTCACACTCATAGTGAAAGTTACGGTTGATATACACTCAGGAATTGTATAAACGATAATTCTTCAATAAAGGAAGAAACAGACAATTGGGCTACGCTACTCTAACCTATTATAATATATATGTACCAGCCTAGTTAACTTGGACAGAACCTATAGTTAACAGGCTATAACATACCTACAGTATATCGCCTATGTATACATTATGAATAAAAGAAAATGTACTTGACGATTTTACTACCTATCTATACCTACGATAATTATCTCTACGGTATCTCAATCTAACTACGATATCTAAGGCAAGGCCGTTACCAAGCTCTTCGCAAGACTTTAGTAGGCATTAGTCACCCTCTTAAGACAGTTTAAAGATGGATTCCAGCTTTTGTACCCAAGGAAGAATAATATGGCTGTAACACTTGTGATAATAATGTAGTGAGGCCATGATGTGTGAGATAACAAGTAACAAAGTCAGAAGATAACAAGTAACAAGATCAAGAGATAACAAGTGCTGTAACAAAATCAGAAGCTATCAAGTAACAAGAGATCTGAAGCAACAACTGTATGACGTGTGTAGTGACGTAGGTGTAATGCCAGAGGGTAACACACACAAGCCCGGGCCAACTTATATAAGAAAGCCGTAAGAAGGTGAAACGCTCAGTGTGTGGTGATCAGTCAGGCAGGTTGCATCTACGTTCACTCAACAGGTAAGTCGGACATCTTGTACTCTTTAAAATATTAATCTCACTGTGAGGTTAGACATTCACAATGCTAATTAATCTGTTGTATTTAATTGTATGTGTGTGAATAATATGTTGGTGTATGTATGTGTGTTCCTTTTCAGCAGAAAACTACGTATGTATTTGCGTTTGTATGCATAAGTGTGTGTATAAGTGTGTGTGTGTGTGTGTGTGTGTTGTTACGCCGTCTCTTAATTTACTTAAATATCCAGGTTCTAGGCGTAACCACCATTTTTTTGGTCCGGTAAACACAGCTGTGAGCGCTAGCTCCCAAATTTTGGATGTTTCCGAGCCTATTACATTATCTGAAGGATATATAGACTTACCTACTTGTGTATAAGGACCTGAGGATAAGATAAGTATCGTCAAGCAACTTTGGTGTTGGGAACTTACTGTTTACCTTACGAAAATAACTGCTCGGGGTCCCATCACTCCTGGCTGGGTGTTGTGGGATGTCAACATTGCCCCATGGAAAGTGAATTATCGCTTAAGAACTCTACATGGAAGAGTAAAGAAAAGATAGTATTGGACGAAGTTCTTGAAGACCTTGAGTTGAGTAGTGATGAGTCTAATATGAGTGATGAAGCACAAGGGAAGTTCGAAAGTGAGAAAATACAGCTACAACAAGAGGTAGTGAAAAGAAAGAAAGTTCTAAAAGGATGAGGGAGACAAACTGGCATGAGGACAGTGAAAGCAAAGAAGTGAGAGAGGAGAAGAGACAAAAACATCTAGGACAAAAAACGTGTGTGGGTGGTAATAATAATGGAAATAACAGAAAGGAGATAGTGGAGAATGGATCAAGAACAGAGCAAAGTATGGAATGTGAAGGAAGCAGACAAGAACACACACAAGGTAAAGTTGGTCGTGTCAGGAAGAGATTAATTTTTCCACAGTCATGCCCGATGACCTTCCTTGAAAAATTAAAATGGGCAGTACAACTAGGACGGGAGCATCGCAGCTTTGAGCCTCTTTTGAAAGAAGGCACACACAAGCCTTATCTTACAGTGGGGACCATGGAGGCTGTGGAATTGTTGACAACTGTTGGGTACAAGGGATTACTGATGGTTTTGCCAGAGGAGAGCGACATACTACTTACAAAGGTTATAATCTTCAGGTACCCTGTAATACTAGATCCAGAATACTTATTGGATGACGAAAGATTTGTTTGGGTCAAGAGGCATTTAATAAGGGGAGAAGAGAGAAGCCAGGTTATTGCTCTAATGAGAGGAAAGGTTCCAGAGAAAGTGTTCATCACAGGAGCAGGGTATAGGAAGGTGGCACTATATGTGGAGGGACCAATAATGTGTCTCAAGTGTTGCAGATGGGGACATAAGGCCTGGAGCTGTCAACTGGACCCACGTTGTAGATTCTGTGGGAAGAGGCACGAATCTAGCAACTGTAAGGACAAGATCAAAGCAGGAGAGAAAGTGAAGCCTTGTTGTTGTAATTGTGGTAAAACTCACAATGCTAGTTCAATTGCATGCGAGATGAGGCCACGTATGAGAAGTGACCAACAAAGGAATTATTCAGAGAACACTGAGGAAGTACGCTGTGGTCTGACAGTGACAAGACAGCAGGAGAACACACAGACAGTGATTCCTGAGAATGCCTGGCATGAAGATTCAAGAAGGATAAGGACTGCGCTTGCGGCCGGAAGCGTTGTTGATGCCAGGAACAAACAGAGTAATAAACAAGTAGCAAGTGAGAGTAGTGGTGCAGCCCTCCAGGTTAGTGATAAAACTGTGCAAGAAATTCTGGGAGAAGAGGTGCGTAAGATGTTTCAGCTTTTGCAAAAGTTAGGTCAGAAAATAGAAGTGATAGAGAAAAGACTTGATACAGTGATAAATAAAGAAAGGGAAAACAAAGCTGTGAATAATGTAGAATTAGAAAGGGAAAGAGGAAAGTGAAGAGCTCAAGCCTTTGAAAAATTCAGTGCTTAAAATAAGTATTAAAGGGAAGGAGAGGAAAATAAAGGATTGTGTAGTGCAGGGAGCAACAACTGAAAGTTTTAAAAAGGTGTTGGTAAAGTGTAAAGATGCTGATAAAGAAAAACTTTTGAGGAAATGGGAATCTGTGCAGGAGGATTGGGCCTTCTTAAAGAATCTGATTGGAAAGGATATAAAATGTGTAAATATTAATCATGGATCTAGCTAGCCTTAAGATAATGTCCTGGAATGTTAATGGTCTACGAAATAGAGTGACAGATGTACATTACTTTACCCTTAAAAATAATATTGACATAATTACCCTTCAAGAGACTGGGGACAGGAAAGGCGACCTGCTTAAACTGTCTGGATATAAGGGATTTCATCTCTATTCGGGTGAAGGTATAAGAGGGGTCTCAACATACATTAAGAATTCCATACCAGCAGAACTAGTTGGAAGCCCGAGTAGAGTACAAGGAATAGAAAGTGTCTGTATAAAGTTATATTTGAAGGAAGGAGAATTGAACATAGCAAATTTGTATATTTCTGGAGGCTGTTTTGACCTCAACTTCTTACCAGATTGCATGTTTTTGGACTCAACTTTGGCTGTAGGAGATTTTAATGCTCGACATCCAAGACTCGAAACAATGGGTAGAATTAATAGTAATGGTATAAAATTTTGGCAATTTTTACAAGATCACCCAGATGCTTACTTGTTAGGAAATAAGGAAGTGACTCATATTAAAGGAGGAAGGTTAGACTATGCTTGCATGATAAGCAGTCATGGAGTCCAGGGAGAATGTGAGATAATAAGGGAGCTAGTCAGTGACCATTTTGTTGTATATGTTCAATTACCATTTGGGAAGAGACAGGTGAGATATAGGAGGAAGAGATTGAAACTAAACAAGGATGACACTCAAGTGTTTACTCAAAATATAGAGAAATGGTACAGAAATTATACACCAGTCTGTATGGATAGCTTTTATAATGACTTAGTTGGGGAGATAGAAAGATATTTAACTAAGTCAACACAGAAAAAAGATAAATGATAAGACACATGGGGCTAGGAAACACTGCTATACCAATGACAAAATGTTGAAGGGATGGACACAAATGTTAAGGGCAGCACATAAAGATTGGGTAAAGAATGGTAGAAGAGAAGAAGATCAGGGAAATCTTCATGGATATAGCCAAAATATGTGGGCAGGCTAGGAAGGAGGCAAGGGAGAAATATTGGCAAGATTTTGCACAGCACATTGGGGAGAGTAAAAATCTCAAAGAAATATGGCAGGATATTAACAAAATTAGAGGAAAAAGGAGTAATTTTATTAGCCATCCTCATCCAGAGGAAGAAGCTAATAAACTGGTTGACAAATGGGCTAAAGCTGCTAGTGTTGCCTCCCTGCCTAACAGGACAATAGAAGCATTAGATGAGTGGCAAAATGAAAGAAAAAGATTTATTTCATCAGCTCTAAATATTTGTGATGTAACATGTGTAGGTATTACTAAAGATGAGTTATTAAATGCTGTTAAAAAAGGAAAATCTACAGCACCAGGCGAAGATGGTGTGACATATGAAATTTTGAACTGCTTAGTTGGTATGGAAAATAGTCCATTATTAGATTTATTCAACATGAGCTATGCAGAGGGTAGATTACCAACAGAATGAAAGAAAGCGATAGTTATTCCTGTCCCTAAGGCAACTGGTGGATACAGGCCAGTGTCTTTAACATCTTGTTTTTCCAAGATGATGGAGAGAGTATTAGTAAATAGGCTTGTATATATTGTGGGAGAAAATCTATCTTGTAATTTATTTGGTTTTTTGGAAGGGAAATGTACTTTAGACTGTGTTATAAAATGTTTATCAAATGATGCAGACAGATGTAGAGTTTTTGTGGATTTTCAAGGAGCATTTGATAAAGCTCACAGTGAAGTAGTTATGAATGAGCTGGCTGCTCTAGGGGTATCAGGAAAGTTGTTACACTGGATAGGTGACGACTTGCATGGAAGGAGAATCTGTGTATGGTATCAGGGATGTTTGTCTGAGGAAAGAGCACTTGAACTAGGCACTCCCCAAGGGGGAGTATTGAGTCCAATGTTATTTAATGTGTTAATGAACAAGATAGCCTCACACAAATATCCCAAAGGAGTTGTAACCATCATTTATGCAGATGACATCTTATTTCAAGGAAACTCTGTAAAAAATTTGCAGATTGCATTAAATAATTTTAGTGTTCTTTCTCAAAAGATGGGCTTAGTTATCAATGAAGAAAAAAACCAAGTGTGAATGTAAAGGAAGAGGAACTGAATCCGTTTTTCTAAATGGAAAAATTGTTGAGAAAGTGTCAAAGTATAAATATTTAGGAATGTATATTGGCTTTACTAGTGAAAGTAAAGAGGCAGAAATATATCATGTCCTCACTCAATGTAGAGCAAGATTACAGCCCTTGAAGGCTCTAGCATGTTGTGGTAAAGGTGCTGGGGTACCCATACTGAGAATGATGTATATTTCTACCATCAGATCACTTATAGACTATGCAGCACCTGTCCTCTCTTGTACTGGTGAAGGAAGGCTACGGAAGCTTGAGATCATGCAAAATGAAGCAATGAGAATAATTCTAGGGTGTCAAAAGAATGCAATGATTGAGATAATGAAAATGGAACTAGGGTTACAGGGCATTTCACAGAGGGTCAGTGAAATTAATACAGTTGCAGCAGTTCGATTAATGAGAGGGAACAGTGGGGGTAAATTTGTACAAGATATAAATGATGGTTTAAAAGATAAAAGGACCTTCTGCAGGCAAGGCAAGAGAGGATACATGAATGGATTAATAAATATTATTAAAAAATGTAATCTGGCAGACTGGTGTACAGCTGTTCAGAAGAGTTGTAAGAATCCACCCTGGGAAGAACGAGAAGTAGAGTTAGACATAGTGCCTCTCACAATGAAGAAATCATTACATGAACCAGGACAGTTAAGGGCTTTATATGGGAATAAGATTAGTAATTTGCCTAAAATAAACACATTGCATGTATATTGTG